CTGCCGATCCTCCTGGAAATTAGGCTAAGGCACATGTAAAATAAGGAGGTGACTGGTGACAGCCAACAGGGCTTCGCTAAGGGCAAATCACGCCTGACATATTTGGTGGCCTTCTATGACAGGGTTACAGCATCAGTGAATAAGGGAAGAGCAACTGACGTCATCTACCTGGACTTGTGCAAAGCATTTGACACTCCTGCACAACATCCTTGTCTCTAAAGTGGCAAGACATGGATTTGACATATGGACCACTTGGTGGATAAGGAATTGGCTGGATGGTCACACTCAAAAGAGTTGTGGTCAACGGCTTGATGTCCAAGTGGAGACCGGTGACAGGCAGCGCTCCTCAAGGGTTGAGATTGGGACCGGCGTTGTTTAACAACTTTGGCAGCAACATAGACAATGGGATTCAGCACACCCCCAGCAAGTTTGCCGACAACTCCAAGCTGTGCGGTGCGGTTGACACGCTGGAGGGAAGGGATGCCATCCAGAGGGACCTGGACAGCCTTGAGAGCTGGGCCCACGTTAAACTCATCAGGCTCAACAGGGCCAAGTGCAAGGTCCTGCACATGGGTCAGGGCAATCCCAAGCACAAACACAGGCTGGGCAGAGAATGGATCAAGAGCAGCCCTGAGGAGAAGGACTTGGGGGTGCTGGTTGATGAGAAGCTCAACATGACCTGGTGGCAGGTGTCCCTGCCCAGGGCAGGGGGGTTGGAATGAGGTGGTCTTTAAGGTCCATTCCAACCAAACCGTTCTATGATTCTATATTTGTGATTCAGAACAACTTTACAATAAAGCTAAACTAGATTTCCTAAAAGCTGAATGCTTAACATTTAAATTCTCAAGGAATGCTTACTTTAAAAGTAGGTATTTTTAAATTTTAGAGCACTGAAGGTGCTAGGTGTTCAACAGGTGTGTAGAGATAAGAAAGTTCACCTTAAAGAACTGAAATTCAGTGAAGAATAACCCACACCTCTTCCCAGTATCTTTTCTACCAAAATTAGTGTCGCTATTAATGGAAGCATTCTAGCAATTATTAAAAACATCACTGAACAGATCAGAAAGGTTTGAGTCACATACCACAATACAGCACGTCTTCCATGGAAAGCAGTAGATAAATGCGACTGATAATGGATGCAGCACACATGAAGAGCATGCATACAGGGATTTGCCACAGGCCAGTTAGCACCACATCAACTTAATCTTCTGGGAGACAAAGACTAGGTTCCTGTACTTATTGTACAATATAGTTCAGCTTATCCGCAACCTGTGTTTTCAGGTAAAAATTGGAAGTGATTGCTTGCAGAAGCACGCTGTCATGGTCTGCAGCTGATGGGCATGAATGGTGATGGGACCCTTTTGGCTGACGAGCTCCTCAATGGCAGGAAGGTGAACCACCACAGAAAAGACATCCTAAGTCTTGCTGTTACTTCATCAGTTTCAACAGACGGCAAACTCTGGATTCAAACACAGTCTGAAAGCCTTTTAAAAGGGCATTTACTGAGTATGAGTTTTAAATGAGTTGTGTTTATCAACAGACTTAAAAATCTGAAGTATTTTAGACGCAGAGTATCTTGCTGAAGAGTCTCTTGAAAGCATTTTTTTGATAATGGGTGCCTGCAAAAAGCAATTAAATGTCAGTAAATTATTTTTTATGAGTAAATAAGCTAACTGAAATAATGTATTAAAATCCTATACCTGTGTTGGGAATTGGTTGGTGAAGCTCTCTGGAAGTCGACCTTCTCTAACATCATACCATACCTAAAATTCATAAAAGAGAACGGTTTCAGTATGTTTTCATTGATTATATTTTGCATCTCACTTTATGACCCATATAATTTACTAAAGTAATTAGGAAAGTAAAAATCTATGAAAAAGGTCAGGCTTCAAAAAGAAAGTAACTGTGAAGAGTTTTCCATTTAGTTGTCCTTTGTTTTGGTTTTACGGTCTTTTCATCAACGGTTGTCCCTTTTTAAGCTTAAAACCTTCACACTCTACAATGATGTGTTTGTTTCAGCAATCCTCTCTATTTCAGAACCAGTATTCTTCTTTCCTTAATTTAAAAGTAGTGGCTTTATATCTTCTTTACCACATTAAAAAAAAAAAAAAAAAAAAAGCAAGACAACTAGATTTCCTACTTTGGATGTTACTATTTGCAAGCCAAGCAGGTGTACTTCCTCTCCCTTTTACCTTGTTCAGTACCACATAGGTACTCCTGTATCACTGCAGAAAATGCTACGTGGAGTTCAAAGCAACTAACATATAGAGGATTTCTAATTATATGCTTTCAGAAACTGCTTCTGGGTAACAACTAAGCTGATGGAGCAGCTGAAGACCTTCCTAGGACTTTCCAGCCACATGACTTCCCCACCTGCCTACGGACACAAGCTTTTTATGCTTTCAGGAAACAAGACTAAATAATTGGTCTTGCCCATTTGACTGTAAAGACCATGGGACTGTGGACACATTTGCACAGTCAGCTGTGAGCAGGAACAAGATGCCTCAGAAAATACTACAAGGTAGCTAAACAGAGCCAAGTTGAACCTGCGAGTCGAGCAGACACATTGGTATGGCTTTCTCATGTTGGCAAAAGAACAAAGCTAACTGTGTTCAAGAGCTGCTGCGTCATGTACATGTATCTTACAATTACTTTAGGCAATATACTCAGCAGCCACATCGCTGTCCTACAAATATGTAGCTTTCAGCATATGAGCCATTACACTAATAATGTGTAAAGTACCAAGAAAAAGCAAGAGACACATAAAAGAAACCTTTTAAAACAAAAGCTTAAGTAACACTGGTTTTCTTTTTGAAGCAACATCTTTTTCAATTAAAGCTTCATTTTGGAAAACTGCAAGTGTTTTGGCTTGATAGGAACTTTGGTTTTGCTCCACTGTGCAGTGAAGACAAGAGCCTGGCAGAAATGAAATTCTCCCATTCATAATTTTTATTTTCTAAAATTAGAAAAATACTCCCTTCAAATACTCTGATCAAACAAAAAGATTTATCAGAAACTCGAAATCTTTTTGCTAGACATTATTCTTTAGCATGCTCAGGCTTTAATGTATATGTCAGTAGGACATAAGTGAAATAAAATGAGTAATATTTCTTTACTTCAGTTATTACATTTCACCTGAGGTGTGAGGACTTGCGGGCCTTACAGAAATGAATCAAGCAGAAAATGTAAGTAGAGCCAGTACTCTAGATGCACAGCTTCCTTCTAGCATGCAATCAGCATGCGATACCAGCAGCAAGGCAAAACAATAACAGACTTTTTTTTTTTAAATTTAAAGATTACGTACCTTAGTTTTCTCGTGACCAGTGAATGCCGAAAGAATTTCAAACCAAATTAATCCCAGTGCATAAATATCTACTTCCTTTCCATATTTGTCCCCGAACTACAAAGATTAGGACAAGAACAATATAGGCGTCAAATCCAACTGGACAGCACTTCTTAAAGCATAATTTGAAGTCAGTACAAAGTTCCACCCCAAGGCTACAGGACTGACCCTACTTGATCTTCATATTAGTCATTAACCCTTTCTGCTACAGACCTGTTAAATAGCGACTGTTATGTCACATTAAACACACTGAAATTAAGACTTCTACAGCCCTACACAGCTAAGGCATGCCAATATCTCTCTGTCACAAATAATGGAACAAATAGGACGACTCAAATGCCAGGGTTAACAGCGGTCCTAAGTTCAAATGGAAATACATGGCTGGCAGCCTGGTTTTGCAAGAGCATTCCTTACAGCACACCGTGTCAGACCCTGCAGGTTAGCACAGCAAAATAAAATCGCCACGCTTGCAGGCGGCTTTCTCCAGAATACAGTTATCCTCATACACGGTTATACCAGGGGACTTTAGGCCACTTGGTTTAGTACTGAAATTAGGATTGAGAACATCCAATGCTGAGTTTATAAAGAAAATCTAGTTACAGAGAGACTCATATAGCAGGTTAATTACCTGTTCTGGTGCCATATATGATTTTGTTCCTCTGTTCTCAGTCAGAGTCCCATATGCCTCAGAAGTCACAAGACCGAAGTCGCCTATTTTTATTTTATCTTCATGTGATATGAATATATTCTGAGGCTATATGTATTTTTAAAAAAAAAAAAAAAAAAATCACCATATGACCAAGGTTTAGCATCAAGCATAATCAGCCACAGAAGTACTCCCCATAAAGTCTGATAATTGTTCACAGAAACTAGCATTAAGAAACTGATGGGGTGGGAAACAGAAAAAAGTTTAATTACTTTTCAAAAAAACAAACTACATTTAAAGTAGTACATGCTGCAGTAACTGCAACTTTTTTTCCACTGGCTCAGTCATAACGATACCATGTTTTAATGCTCTTCAAATACATTGTGCATGTAACATTTTTATATCCAGAAGTGCTTTACAGTCTTCAGTCCTAGCCCTGGGATTTGACACGCTTGGGCAAAGCGTTTAGGCTCACATAGAATTCCACTCAAATTGTAGTTTCTCCTAGGCACAGCAGGATTATCTGTACTAAGTCAATTGCAGAGTGAGGGCTTACTATGGGCATCTCACAGCATCGCTTGTTAAGTTTCCATTGAACTTCCTGTTTTTAAATTCGACAAAGTCATAGGCAACTAAAAATAGGATTGTATATGCTTGGATGACGTTTCCTCAAGAAGATAAAAATACTACATTTTTGAATGTTACTAAACCGAAACCAAATAGCCTCATGCTATCTTTTACTCGAAGCTCCAGTGGACTGTAAGGCCAGGAGAGACTTAATATTTAGAGAGATCTTTGTGTCAAGAATGCCCACTGCAGTTGTTCTGTTCAGGTTTGACCATATCCACACACATTTAATACAGTAGCTATACCTGGCTACACTATTTGAAGACTCCGTTCATACCAGGCACAAATGGGATTCATCTCAGCTTGAACCTATCCTGCAGCTTTGAGTCTAGGACATGGAGATCTCAGATGGCCAAGCACCTAAGTTGACAGCAGATCAAAAGTGAGGAGAAAAGTTCCTAAATTCAAATGCAGACAGGCAAGTTAGCAATAGGACTTGGAGGCAGGTTACAGCCAGATGCCATGGATAAGGGACTGGGGCAGCAGATTCATAGGAATAGGGAAAAGTAGGAGATCGAGCTGAGCTGAAAATAAAGTTGGAGTAAAGGAGCAAGAAAATGCAAAGCACGTAGAATAGGAAGAACTAAGAATTAATGGGTGAGGGGAGAAGGCTCTTATGAGGCCTCTTTTTTCCCAGGCATTGAGGGAAAATAAGAAGTGTGTATTTGTGGTTCATTCCAGCACTGTAACAATAAGCCTGATAGCAAAGCTCTAGAAGATATCAAGATTCTATGAGCGGACAGTGAAGATGTTCTGGAACTACACTGTGAATGAAAAATGCAAAAGATTTCAATCTCTGGCTCAAGAAGTCCATAAACTTCAGGTTACTGGAAGTCTTGAGAGGAAGGGAGTATGCATCAAGGACAGCATCACTGTATCATCTCTCAGCTCTAATACTCTCTAGTTGTTTGGAATTAGCCTCTGTATGAGGAGAACAGCATCCTAGATCAATATTTAATGTGACCCACTACAGCTGTTTTTAGGAACACCACCACACTGATGACCTTTTCACAAAGTGAGTGATTTAAAACTCCGTAAGCAACATTATAGCTGGCATGTGAAGCCCTGAGGGCTTGCAACTTTGTCCTTTATAATCTGCATATATTATGATTGTGCCCTTGTAGAGACTGAAATTCTATCCAAAATAGTAGCGTTCAAATACATGTATGCATATGTGATAAGAGAGCAACTAGAGTATGTTGTTATCAAACACAGCATGTATTAGGATAGAAAAACAATCCCTTTACAATATGGCAAGAGCAAACTTCCTAGACTCAACTTTTCCCTTTCTTTTAATTATTTTGTCAAGTCAAGTTAGTATTTCTTTTTCCAATAGGCCGTCCTGTGACCCAGTAACACATATAAAACATAACATAATACCCTGAAAATGCCTGTTAACTGATGACTACTGATTTTTTTGAACTACTGCATTCTGAGATCCTCAGGTCTACCTTCTGATTTTAGGATGAAGTCTAGCCAGTTGCTGAAAAAAAATTAATCACTAGCACTATCAGAAGAGGCACACTACTAGAGTACATAATAGACTAAACAAAGGCTAGAACAATTTAACATTTTCTGAAATTCCAATAAGTACTATTTTTATCTAATTTTTTTTTAATTACCTATCCTATTTACCTTGAGGTCTCGATGAATTAACCCTTCAGAATGAATATATTCCACTCCTTTCAGTATTTGTAAAAATTTGTTCTGTGCCATCTCATGATACTTTTGGTGCCGTCTGTTCTTTTCAACCCAGTTTTCCAATGGCCCTTGTTCACATAATTCCATTTGGATGAAAAGACATGGAACTTTTTTGTCTGACCTCTGCCTGCAAAAAAAAATTATATACCATATTGAAATTGGCAAGATACAACTCCTCCCAAGCCATCAACGATTCTCAGGTTCCTCTTCTTTAAAAAAATCTTTTTGTTAATTATTATTATTTTTGGAGTTCTCCAAAACAAAATCTGGAAGTCTCTTGATTTTAAAAAAAGATCCTAGACCAATTTGTACTAGATTCAAATAAATACAACTGCAAACCAAAGAATCCCTGCTCAGCTGCTGCATACCCCTGGAATATTCCTAATGTTTTGCTTGCTTCGTTGTTCACACTGAAAATTTTCTGAGTGCCCAAATTCTGCTCCCTTCATATCTAGAGGCATGTCCTATACAGGAAGAAACAGCACTGTCCTTGATTCCCATCCTGCCCTCTAGAAACTGCTGCAAGTCCCTGACAGGTATTTCTGCTCAACAAACACAGCATTAGCCTTCCTCTCCTACCCAGAATGATCACATTCTTCCAAACTCTGGCCCTTCAAGAAGGTAGTGTGGTGACCACCTTTGATATCAGTCTGCAAGTTACAGAAACCCTTCTGAGAGCTGGAAATCCAGCTGAAATATATTCACCCACCCGACAGCCTCACACTTTCCAGAGCCCACAGGATAGGCTGAGGCTGGAAATGGTGAGGGGGAAGCTGAGGAGGCACCGCTTTTTCCTACTTGCACGGTGTGATCTGAGTGCCCTGGAATAAAGCCACCTCAGGCACGGAAAGAACAAGCATTAAGTGGCTCGGGACTCTCTGTAGCCTTGAGGTCAGGGCACTAAGTGGAATTCCAGGCTGGCACCTCAGCTTTGAGGACTTTTATTCTGTCTTTTACTCATTTTCAATATGAAATGCATAAGTGATATTGGGACTCCAGCACATTAATGGCTGGGTTTTGACACGAGGCTTTTTTCCCCCGCATTTTATTCCTCATTTACTGAGCACACTGGACAGATATCATGCCAACTATAATTTTGAATCCATTAATATTCTATGGCTCTACGTAAGTGTGGCAACCTATCTGAAGGGTATGAATTTACAGCTAGTGAAAAAAGCTTACCACAGAAGCTTTGAAAAGTTAATAATCTAACTTAAGTGTAAAACTCTCACCACTGTCTTCCCAGAAATCTTAGTGTTGAAAGACTACCTCTAAATGAAAGAGAATTTCATTTTGTATCTGTTCTTAATAGCCAAAATGTTTCAGGCATCGTGGTTAAAATGCTAACTTAGAGAAATAATAAGTCTATGAGAGCTACTGGCTGACCAGTACTTATTAAAAAAAGGAAACTTCTGATCAGGAATTTGGCACCCAGCTGCTGGTTTTTTAGCTTCTCTTGTTAATTCTAGCCTCAAATTTTGAGTTCAGCATTCTTACACTCTTCTGTAGATTCAGCAAGTTCTGAGGAGAGGATAAAGATTAAATTACATAATGTATCTTACTCATCAAGGAAAAGAAGCTATCAATCTACTTAATTATATACAGCCTGCTGCTGAAAAGTACTGTGCCTTTTTTCCTAACAGCTAATATGTAAGTATGTGTATGCATTTGTGTTTGTATAATGATTTATAACCAATCATCAGCCTTTCTTTTTATAACACAAACTTCACTATGGCAAACAAGTCTGCGAGTGCAAACTACTATCTTGTAGTTACCTTGAGTCTGGAGAAGTTACATAGTCGTACCCTTTCCAGCTACAATAATACCGCACTATGTTTTCGTGGTCAAGTCTTGCAAGTTCTTTTACTTCACGCTTTACATTCCTATTAGGAGGGGGGAGAAGGGAAAAAAAAAACAAAACAAAACCAAAAACATTTCCTTATAAAAAATTAATACTAAGTTAAGTAAAAGACATGATATCAAGTATCATGTATACATGTATACTGTATACAGATACTGTTACATTAATTGAGAAAAAGAACATAATATTCTCCTTCATACAAGTTCAAAATTGTAGTTACGAATTCTGTGGGTTTCCTTTCATCTGCTCAGTTATTCAAAGTGCAAAAATGTTTTAACTATATTAGAAATTAAAGCCCCACTCAAAAAAAAGCTGAAAAAAGCAGAGAGTTGCAATGCAGAATTACATTAGGTAGCCAAACACAATACAGCAAACACCCATGTTTTGTTTTCACCTCTGTGAAGTTTGTTTACATATACAGAAGTCAGTGTAAATACTCAGGAAGAACTATTACTAAATTTGGCCTGCACTTGTTGTTGTAACATTGTCTAGTGAAGTAAGTTCAAACCCATCAGCAGACCAGCAGTCTTTATTTGAAGAATCAGTGGAATGTTTTCAGTATAGTTCTCAGGATTGCAATACAAATGAAAATAACATATTTGTGAAGAACACAAGAATTCGAAGGGCAGTTATACAATGTAGGGGACAAGTATCTCCAACAACGTGAAACTTTTTGAATAGACTACCTAGAAGAAATTCAGGTTTTTCGTCTGCTGATAAAATACTCCGCTAGGTACTGGTAACAGAAAGTTACTTTTAAAAGAAACATTAAGATCATCATTCTCTATTGAGATTTATAAAGGACAAGTAACACGGTGTGAGAATGATGACTACATGGGTCATATATAAAGCGTTTTCCAATTACAAACCACAAAATGTATTACTTTCATTTTTCTCTGTTTTCCCTAATTATAGTTGTTATGCATTACTGATATGTAAATTCTCCATGTAACCTGTCAAAAACAACAGTGCTGCTTTCAATGTTTTATTAATCAGCAAGTTTTCTTCAAACACATTTTGCAATATTAATAACCAGAGCACTAGTGTGTTCAGGGAAAGAAGAACTTAAGAAATCTACTTTTTTACAACTGCATCTGAAATTATTCCAGCGCATGCAAAAATTAGCAAAGTTGCATGCCATTTTCAGCTTCACTTAGCAGTAAAGAAAACCATTTACCAGAAAGAGTGGACAATTAATAATGAAAATTGCTTAAATGCTCCTAGGATTATTAAAGAGACAAAACAAAGTACTGAAGTCTTGTTTAACATTGTCCTAAAATAAAGAACAGAAGTAAATATACAGTACGTACTTTGTGAGGCGAACTCGTTTGACTGCATAGGTTCTCTCATCAAGTTCTGCTGTTGCTTTGAAAACATTCCCAAAACCACCTTCACCAATAGGCTCTATATTTTTAAAATTCTCAAGAAATCTTAAAAAAAAAAATTAAATATACTTAACATTAAATTTACAAGACATAAAAATGATCCTGATGGATCTAATACATCTGCTGTAATATCATTCTACAGGGATCATTCACAGCTGTACAGGTCTAAATCATAGTCTTGAAGATTTAAAAATAACAAGGGAAACTGACCCTTGAAAGCATGTAGAGTAATTACCCTCGCATGTGCACACAAATGACTTTTGGTTGTAAGGATTAAATATCACTGCATGTCAGTTGCTATACTATATTTGAAATTTAAAAAAAAAAATAGTATCTTAAATACCAATTTTCTTTGAAAGTTATTTTTTACAGCAGTATTTTCCCACATTCTATTATAAACAAACAAATCTAGACCACGACATACTGTAATTGCCATACAAATCTTCTTAAAAACAAAAAAAAAAAACAAAAAAAACCCCAACCAACCAAACAAAAAACCAATCAAAAAAAAACCCACAAAAAGACCCCAACCTTCTTACCTTTTATTCTCAGTGTATGGACTTCGATTCTCATCACTGGTGTTTATGTCCAAATCTGACAAACTTTCATCTGAATCTGACATCTTTCTTTTCTCTTCCTTTTTTCTTGCATTATCAAAATTAACTGCCAGTTTTCTTTAACAAGGATAAAAGCAAAACTTAGAGTGAGCCATTTTTCTAATATGTGACGAGAAAAGAAACGTACCTCCCAATAGTGGCATTTCTTTGCTAGATATAGAAGCACTAAAGTGGTTTGCAACACAGTTTATAGAGATAGCAACCTATAAATAAACACATACCTTTTGAATTTCAGAGCAGAACTTTGTGCATCTTGCTACACGAAAATGAGAAAAAAAAAAAAAGTAACTGAGATATCCTGAATATTTTCACTATACTTAGTTTAAAATGTGTCTGAGAATGTATCTAGGAATTGTCTATAAATGTGTTCATACCTTATATAAACAAAGTAGTAAGAATGAAGGTGTATCTTAGCTTAAAATTTTTCACATATGCTATGTGTGATAACATCATTCTTCCCACAGAAAAATGCGAGCTTAGTTTGATCCCCTTTCTTGGGAGTACTGCCCATTTGGTCAACAGTACATAAACTGGGTCCACAGAACAGAAGACTACTGGTTAACAGTGAGAAAGCACTGAATATTCTTAGGAAAAATGCACCTGTGTTTTCTAGTGCTTAGTGGCTGAAGGAACAAACTGATGCTACACTCGTGACAAGAAGCTTGCTCTGTTCAGGGTCTAAATGTAATTATGAGGAAGACCATATTCATACTATACCTGAGGAGGTGAAGGCTTTGCACATACTGCCACGTCTTTCATTTTTTCTGCCAACTTTGCATCGGAGTCTTCAAAGCAAATACTGCTGTTATTGAAAAATAATAATTAGTTTTAGGTGAAAGTAACACGATCATAAATAAAATCATTGCCACAAGAAAAAAAGAAGCATAAAAAATACATAGTTTTTAAAAGCAAAACCTGAAAAAGCATTAACAATCATGACTGATTTAAACTACAAAACTTTATGCTGGAAAGCTAATGAAACAATAACATTTTGTAATATACTCCTCTATTTCTATGATACGATATCGTGATATCTAGATATCTACATGATATATATGCTATTATATCCTTTAATTACATAGGTTACATACAGATGTTTATTTCAAGGCAGTGCAGCCACCTCTAGCATTGTACGTATCAGCTTGCTTTACCATCGCACAAAGAATGTAAAAGAAGTGGCAGCAGCACTACAGTCAAGTTAACTGCTGGACCCAAAAGGCTTGACCGAGGGTTCCCAAATCACAAATGAAACTTCAGGCACGCTCATTTTCTTTCGCTAAGCAAATTTTCCCTTTGGTGGAAATGAAGATTTATGGAGAATGAAAAAGGAAAAAAATAACAGAGAAGAAAGCAGAACGTGGAGCACAGGCACGTACCAAAATTGAATTACACTGAGTTCACAAGAGTGGCACAATAGGAAAACAAGTGTTAAAAAAGCTACTGAAAGGTTATTCCATTTACATCACAGTAAAAATGCTTCTGAAAGAACTACTCATGGCAAAATCTAAATATATCAGAAAGCTTTAAAATTATTATAAGCTAACCCATAAGGACTCAAATAAAATCACACCAGTACAACAAATTTTGCTTTGAAGCCTAAGAAATATAAGCTCAAATTAAATGGCTTTATACTGCAATAAAGAAACTCTGACAGATTTTATTTAGAACTAGATCACGTGACCCTCCAGGATTAGTAACTACATCTTGTTATCACATTATCAGTGAACCCAACTTACTTCGAGTCAGACTCAGTTGGCACTTGAGAGGCATTACTATATTCGCTAAATGTAGAATTGCTGTTAAATTTTTCACTTCCCATCTGAGAAAAGAAAAAACAAGAACGGTTAACAAAATCACGTGAAAAAAAATCCCTAGTGCAAAAGATGCCATTCAAAGAGGGGGGAAGGAAGATTACAAGGTCCTAAGTGGAAGTTGTTAACTGCACGGAACGGCATCTGCCTCGCTGCCAGCCAGAGGAGTGAAACACAGGGCCCTGTCCCACTGAGCGGTTTCCCACTCGTATTGAGACTATATACACACATTTGCAGAAGTCGAGTCTGGGATCTCTTAAAAATCAGGCTAACAGTAACAGTTATTAAAAGCAATTTTTTTCATTGTTTACTGCATATGCACTTGCCTGCGTGGAAAACGAGGTACACGTAGGCTTTGGTATATGTAATCGGCTGGACTGAAAATTTGAGTCTCTACAAAATGACATTCAATGTCTTCAGTGTGAAAACCCTGCAAAACCTGGATTACTGAATTGGGGTTGACTAAGAAAAAAAATTAATCCTCAATACTTGGTAGAGGTTCTTCCCCTTTTTTTTCCCCCTTCCATGTCCTAAGAGCAAAAAATGTAACATTAAAAGCAACACCTACAATTATTACAGACCATAACCTGACAAAAAGTAAAAAAAGTAAGGGTTTATGTTTCAAACAAAACCCAATTTTTTTAATTCAGGAGTACTGGGCCTTTACTACTTTTGCTAGTTACACTTTGTTTGTTACACAGATGTGCCTGGGAATTAATGAAAAATAAAACCAAATCAAGCCATCTCACCCCAAATTTAGAATAACTGCTACAGAGGTTCTGCTTGAGGTAGTAAATTTCAGACTTTGATGAAAATGCAAAGACCTATGAGTTTGTAACACAGGAAAAAACTAAGGAAGGATCCTAGAGCTATAATAGGCCATTAATTACATGGTTCTCTTAAAAACAACAATAAAAGAAGCATTTAAAATTCACAGTAAACACCCAAATAATGAAAAAAGTACTTAAAAAAGATTTCTTGCCTCCCCTGTACTGCCTTCCTTCCCTTTAAACTACACTTCATCTGTGTTAGTTCATATGACCTGTTCTGTGCATTTCAGAAGTGGCTTTGGATCACTATTAGAATTCTGATAATTTTTTGCACGTATGGAAATACGATCGCCAACATGAAGACAACAGCTCTGCTCTCCAGAGGATGGTGTTAGCCATTGCTTCACTGGACTCTGCCCTGGAACACTACAGAAGGCGAGTCCTGTCGATTCTTACTCCTGCTTTTGCCTTTCTCTTATTTCACAGCAGATTTTTGATCCAACTGAAGGCAGTAAGAGATTTATGTTCATAGCCAGCCAGCTGGACAACGCTTCACACAGGAGACAACCAGTATACTGGAGTAGTCAGGATTCAGAGTTTAATACATATGCATCCTTGAATGACAACGTATCAGACCATATTCTGAAATACACAGAGATATCCACTGTGAGGTTGGTTTTTTTTTAATCCAGCAATTGAATATAGAAACACAACGTGAATGTTACCAACAAAATCCTGTAGCACAACCAACCCACCAGAATACGGATTGTTCCCCTCTTCAGTGGAATCCATGGAATATGTTTTTAAATACAATGAGAAAATTTGTTCAAAGATTAAAGATACAAGAATTAAACTTCTGCTTTAAGGCTAAATATAGCACATACTGTTAGAGCGCCTTGCTCATTTAGATTCTCAAACGCTTGTTTTGCAGCAGCTTGTTTTGCAGCAGCCAGAGAAGTCCCAGTGCCAGTTCCATACACAAAACCACTAATTGTACAGCTACAAGAAAACCTGTAAAATACAAAAGGGAATAAAGTCTTATGTCCCATAGGATAAGTCTTAATTTAATGACTTTAAACACTACAGTCAATTGACATTATAGAATGGAAATCTGAAATACACATCTTCAGGACAGTATTTCTAATATACATTTAATCTAATTAATAATGGCAGATAACTAATTCGACATGCCTTCAATATAACTGATTTTCAGAGAGTGAATATTTAGCATTCTTTAAGGTTGAACTCCTGAAAGCATCATATCATATGCACCCACAAACACAAATTATCTGCAGTTTAGGTTTTAAAATGGCTGATTTTGCAGGGGAAGAGAAGAATTTTCCAGCAGATATTGTTAAAATATGTAGATATTCTTTATCATCCCTCAGCTGCCATTAACTGAAACGTTTCTACAACTCACTGACTGCGATACATACAGAAGGAGACACAAACAGGCTCTCCTTGGCACTTGGTTCCCAGGGGTCTCCAAAATACAAGCCGAGCAGTCCACAAAGGTGCCAGAGCTACAACCAGGGTAACTGACAATTTGTCAACACCAACTACCGTTTTATCATCATGGCATCTCTTCTCCCAGCTAAACAAACTCAGTCCTCTTAACCTCTCCTCCTATGCCATATCCTCCAACTCCCAAACCACCTTAACGGACTTCCCCTGGATCCTCTTCAGACTGCCTCCAAATTGTTACTGTATTTCCAAAGACTGATCTGACACTACTCAGGGTAACTAATGGTAGTGTTAGTAAACACAAAGAGGTATTAAAAGCAAGTACGAAGACAAAGTACATCTTACACAGGAGCGTGGGCATCTCCAGTACGTTTTTTGTCAGGATAATCAACTATTTGCAACGTCCTTTGTGAATACATATTTAGTAGGCTGACATAGTCGCTGGGCTGTACAGCTGATAAGTTCACTTGAGCTGTCATTAATTCTGCAGCTTGCATATTTGACGGAGTCTCTGGCTATAAAGCAAACAAAATAGGTAACTTTAAAACTTAAGCTTAATAAATAAGATAAACACTGCACAAGATCTAATATAGCTGCAAGGTTTGTCAGCATTTCAAAATATTCTTAAGAAATCCAAAGTTTGCATTAGTGGAGTCCCTTGTGGCAAAGGACAGCCATCCCAACCCAGAATTATTCACTTTGAATATCCAGAGAAATGTAAATCCCATTTTCCAAGTATTGCACCAATGTCTTTAACAACCTATCACCATGTCTCCTCCCACCTTTTTTAGGAAAAGACAGGGAACGGAGCTGTGAAATGTCTCCTAAAAAAAAAAAAAAAGCAAATGCTGCCTTCTGAATTTTCTCACAGCCGAGCCACAGCCAAGAAAAGGGATGGCAGCAGGATGCTGGTGATGCTGCCATTAGCAACGGCCACAAATGCTCCTGTGCATGAACCAGAGCGGAAAGCAGGACTTTTCAGCTGTCTCATGATTAGGCAGCATTAATAACATATTAGCAAACATGCAACAATTGTGTTAAAGTAATGATGGTGACACAATAAAAAGCATATGGAAACAGGTAAGGAAAGATTTCACTCAAAAGGTGCTAAGAAGCATTCAGAATCAAAAAGAAAAATAAAGAATGGCTACCACAAAACACATGGCAGAAAATTGAGGAGCAAATTCAAACCTAAACTAAATCAGGAAAGGATAAAAAGAATAGAATCAGCTATACCATAAAGAATATAATGACAAGGAAACAGAGATGCCTCAGATCAAGTGAAAGTAAGCAATTTTATGAGCAAAGTGGCAACAGACACACCGAACAATGCCCTGCAAATGTTTTGAAGATACCAAATTACTGAACAGTTCTCAGGATGAAAAAGGAACACTGCCCACTCTGGATATACCAAGGCAGCTTAACAAAGGCAAATACATTTCCTCATCCTCCTATAACAGCAGAGGAGGAAACACTCGCAATATTGCATACCAACCCTGTAGGAGAACAATAAGAAAAATAGTTCAGTGGCAAAAAACAGAAAAGCACTGAATAAGACAGAACAAAGACAACTTACATAAATAATTAGAAACTCTTCCAAATTAAACAACGCTATTTTATTGGCTACTTTTAGAGATTCATCTTCAACATTTACTAGCCAAAAAAAAAAAAAAAATAAATCCTCCAGTTCACTCACCTGTTTGTCAATCATTTCCCAGGTTTTTTTTGCTGCTACTGCTTTTGCTTCCTTCTTATTTTTACCAGTGCCCATACCATATTCTACATCGTCTATTTTAACCACAACTGTAAACCTGCAAGGAAAGAAACTTTTTAAAAACATTGTTACATTTTGTCTCATATATACTTAATAAACTCCTCAGACTCAACTTCTTTTTTATTACCAACAAAGCACTACAAGTTAACTGTGGAGGTATTTAAGTATTCATTCCTGATTATTATAATTCTTCCATAGAAATATTTTTTTTAATGTTTCCTCTCTAGTCACAAATGCATGTACTTTAATAGTTCTAACAGTACTTTTAAATGCTTTACTGCTTTTTAAAAGTAAAATTATTTTAATTTCTAAAAGCAAAAGAACGCACAAGGTCAGCATTTTTACAGGCACGGTTGTGAAGCCCTAACACCAGGACCCATCTCCGCACTGCAAAGCTATATGGAGAGGAAGGATTAGCTAACCTTGCTTCCATGGATCCAGACGTGACACTACACTCACCTTTGATACGCTGCTACACACACTATTTAGTAAGTGCGAAAAAATGTGCCTGGTGCTTCATGAGACATGAATTCAAAAGCAGTCCCAAAAAACAAACAAAAAACCCTAGTCCCGCCCTTCCACACTCAACCACGGAGCCCTTCCCGTTCCGTTGCACAACCACGCACACGCCGTTTGCCATACAGCAGCTCTGCGAGCCAGAACAGGGACCCGATGCAGCTCAGGGCTGACTGTACCGGGTTTGGCTAGGATGGACTTAATTTGCTTTACAGCAGCTGGTACGGTGCTATGGTGTGGATTTGGAACGAAAGCAGCATTGGTAACACAACAACGTATTACCTATTGCTAAGCAGCGTTTGCACAGCGTCAAAGCCTTTTCTTTTTCCCAAAACCCAACAAGTAGGCTGCGGGGGTGCGTGAGAAGTTGTCAGTCTCTTATCCCAAATAACCAGCAACAGGATGAGAGGAAATGGCCTCAAGATGTGCCAGGGGAGGTTTAGATTGGACATTAGGAAGAATTTCTTCACTGAAAGAGCTGTCAAGCACTGGAACAGGCTGCCCAGGGAAGTGGTGGAGTCACCATCCCTGGGGGCATTTAAAAGACGTGTAGATGTGGTGCTTAGACATGGTTTTTAGGGGTGGGCTTGGCCGTGCTAGGTTTGTGGTTGGACTCAATGATCTTAAAGATCCTTTCCAATCTAAATGATTCTATGATTCTAAATTGGGAAGGGACACAACCAAGGCAGCTGGCCAGAGGGATATTCCATGCCACATGGCATCGCACTCAGCAATAAAAGCTGGGGGAAGAAGGAGGAAGAGGGGAACTTTGGGTTTATAATGTTTGTCTTCCCAAGTAATCGTTACGCATGACGAAGCCCCGCTTTCCTGGAAATGGCTGAACACCTGCCTGCTGATGGGAAGTAGTGAGTGAATTCCTCACAGTACTTTGCTTCAGTTGCACGTACAGCTTTGCTTCACTTATTAAACTGTCTTCATCTCAATCCACAAGTTTTTCTCTCTTTCACCCTCCCGATTCTCTCCCCTGTCCCACTGCGGGGAAGTGAATGAGCGGCTGGATGGGGGGTTCGCTGCCACCCACGGTCAACCTCTCACAGCGACACAATAACGAATGGTTGGTTTTCAGCTAAATCAGCCAGATCCAACTTGTCCTGCAGCTGCAAAATCCCTAATGTTTCTGCTACTGCTTTTGCACAAAAGGCAACAGAGGCAAAACCAACTACATTTCTGCTTTTGGCAGCAGCACAGACTTGAATCAAGTTAAAGTGACCGTTAATTATAACCTCGGGGTAGGTCTACACTTCAGATTGCAGCATAGCATACAGATACACAAGCTCACGGTCACCAAGACAGATCACACAAAGAAACAGTCTAGGTATAACACCGTGAGTTTCTCTGTGGGACAATTCATCTCAATTAGTGGAATGGCTTCAGGAATTCACTTTTTTTTTTCATTAGTCCAACTTCACTCTCCACTTCCCTTTAATGAAATGTTTGGGTGGAAAACAATGGAGATGCAGAACACTGCTTGCAGTCATTGTGTAAGCAAGCCTTAACAAGAGATCTTAAGGAGGTAAACAGTAGGACAAGGCACACCAGAGTGTATCACATACTCTACACATAGGAAATAGCATACCAAAAAAAAAAAAAATATTAAGCATGAAGGAAAGATAGTTCTTTGTGAAAGGGTTTGTTAGCCAACCCATATCTAAGTGCTGAATACTACACACATTCAGCTATGACTTTGCATCCAAAATTCACCATTTTATTTCAGCATCCTGAGGAAATCTGCAGTCTCGGTCTCAATGACTCATGAGTTAATTATCTGAGCTGAGGATTACCTGAATGAGTGTTACAGGAGTTGGTCCCAAATGTGCGCTTATCCACCATGGACCCCAAGTTAATAAGCACTGCCCACACTTGACAGGTTTAGGCAGGACTGGCCTCGTTGTCCACACACTGTGTTCCCAGCCCAAGAAAGCTCGCAGCCGCTCAGGACTGAGCCAAGCTGGGCTCTCTCAACCTTTTTTACATTGCACTCAGCACTGACTCTGCCAGATATTGCAGATCCAGCACCAAAACCAGGCTAGGATGGGAGGAGATGACAGGAGGTGTCTCTGTGGCATGCCTCAGACAACTGCAGGACGACTTAGGAGACGGGACACAGCACAGAAGAGTTCGGGAGCGAGCTCAGGACCAGCAGTGGCCAATGCATCCCATCAGCAGGCAGAGCACTGGGAAAGAGCACCACCAGGGCACCGAAAGAGGTTTACAGCACTCATCGCCATAGCCGGACACTGTACATTGTAGTCCTTGGAACAGCCCAAGTTATCCAGGATTTTCCCAGATACCACTGTCACACCTCACATCGCTTACAGATACAGGAGAAGGGGTTGAATTACATTTGTGAATGTAGCAGAGCACACAGAAAAAAAAAAAAATTTAAAAAGTGCAATAAATGGGATAAATGAGGAAATTTTAAATGTGCGTAAATTCTGTTAGTCCCATACTATCACTTTCGAGGCATGCAGATGTAGCTGTGCTGTGGTGACCGACCCCCGCCTCGTTCCCTCTCTTAGCAGCTCTAGGCCGGGTGGTGTGCACCCCCAGGACGCACACTGGCCTGCAGACTGCAAAACCATGCAAACATCGCTGACAAAATCCACGAGTACATGCCATGGACCAGGTGCGCTTTTTTTCCAGCTAAGCCTAGCTGGAAAAGCACTTGGCCTGTGGTTTGATTTCGGATCACTGCTGCAAAGTAATGGTGCGTAGGACAGAGCTAAGCTGAGGATCTCACTAGCACGGTGACATCCTCCCAGCCAAGGGCGCTTGACCGTAGGATGCTGCCAGTTGCCTTAATTGTAACCGTAAGTGTTCTCTGTATCATTATCATTCTCGTTACTATTTTTATATACTTTTATCCATGACTATCTGAATAAAGTTGGATCTAATATAGTGGCTATTAGTGAATATTTAGATACTAAATAAAACGTACATATATTGGAAATCCTGATGTTTGACTGGTTTAATTCTCTTCCTACTGGAACCCTGTGGGTACTTTTCTTTTATCTCCTATTTTCAAACATTATTCTGAGGACATTGGTTTGGCATTGTACATATACCTACTATAAACAGTTGGGCAGAAGTAAGGTGGCCGAGGAGGGACGTGGGTATTGTACCGAGGTTTCATCGGAAGACAAACCAGACCTGCCTCCTCAGCAGTCCGAACCTTCACCAACACGTAACCCCTCAGGGTAGTCAGGTTATGACATGCGTGACCACAGCTGTGGCCATTACTGCAACAGGGGCTACTTTTTTGAATTACACGAGCCACATGGGGAAAAAATTAAGATAACTGATTAACATTTGAGTCCCAGATAATACTTATTAACTTATTCTGGGACTATGGTCTAAAAATAAGTTCAGCACAGATCAGTGCTGGCTGGCAACATGGAAGACATTGAAAGAAACATACTAAACATTAACATAACGCTTGTCTTCATGCAAACTAGCAAAAATAATAAAAATAAAAATCACACATGGAAGCATCATAGATCTTGAGTATCTATGATCTCTGGCAGGGAAACTAAAGTAGCAAACCACCATATTTGTGCTAAAAAATAAAACATATTCCATCACCTGTAATTGTATCTAAAAGTAAAAGCAGAACAGCTTAATCAAAAGAGCCTTCTCTTGTAACAGGTGTTCAAAAATTAGCTACACACAAAACGTGTTGGCACCCAATCAATTAATATACACCCAACCTTTATGGTTAGAAATTGACAACATAAATCACAAATCATTTCCATGCTTTGTAAAATTAAATAAAAAAAAAAATCAAAGCACTTAAGTTCGCATAGATCATAAACTGAAATACTTGCTGCAACCCACCTCATTTCCTGCGAGATTTCACGGCAGATGCGTAACATACTTACAGTATAGTTACCAGTAACATGTGCGTTGCTGTTGCTTTCCAGAAAAGGGCCATTAAATCTGAAATGTTTTCTCTCAGACCCTATCACATGACACCCTCCCCACCCACCTACCACTCAATTTATGGTTTCAACCAGCTCTACTGCCACATACACACTTTCAGCAAATTAACTTTTATGACTGCAAGCTTTACCCAGTTCGTTCATTGCAGGAAGAGTCCTGATGTTTATTGACATGCATAATGAACTTACTCAGGATCATGAGATGGGCCGGTCTTCCCGATTTCCGCATAAACCAGTTTAAGTTTCTGCTTCTGACAGTAGTTGTTGACCTTCTCCATATATTCCCGTTCCATTTTGACACAATCTCAAAAAGGTTCTGCAAAGCAACATTCAAAGATAGGTCTGTGTCTCCAGACGTAGCATAGAGACAGGCCCTAATCCTGACGGCTGTGATATAAAATTGAAAACTGGTGCCAGTAATATAAAGTTTACAGAAAACTCATTCTAATTTCTAATTCAAGGTGCTGATCTGCAACTTTTTTGATGACTCATTGCTTGGACTAACAGTTTTAGAAAGCACAGCAGAGAATTTAGTCATTAGAGGAGATTTCTTAGCAGATTTCTTGACAAGAAAAAGCTGAATCATTCACGGAATCCTGGAAGAGGGGGAATAAGAAAGAAATCAGTAACGTTTCTCCAGCCAGAATCCGGATCGATTCCTTCCCAGCGGACCCAAGCGGCACTGCAATACATCCCTCCGAGCGGCGCCGGCCGCCGGGCGGAGCGACACGTACCGGCGA